CTTGTGATACCAATTCTTCAAGTGAGTCAATCTTGATGAGAAACAAGGTCACTTCCCCTGCAACTGATGTAATGGTCGAATTAGTAAGGATTGGAATGTAGAACAATTAAGTGAACTTCAGGTTGTTCTTTTTGAGGAGTTTGTAGCTGCAGGGAAGTAGATAGGAAATGGAAAAAAGCAATCCCTTGCTTCTTGTTAGTAATAGTAATAGTAATAGCAACAGTAACGTTGTTGAATGTTTTTTTATTGTTCTTGGTAGTCTCCCTTCTGATTATACATAGGCAGTGATAAATGATAATTGTGTTAGGGTAGGGGGTATTGTAGAATAGTTCAGCCTCCATGTTGAACATTGTAGTCCTTGGTTTGCTTATTATTTTATAAAAAAGTTATACATTTTTGTTCTGTCATCTTCCCTTAATCAATTATATGCATAGAGGCTTTTGCTTTCAATCTTTTGGCGTATTGATTTTGATTCCACGAGCCAGCTAAAATAGCAAGATTGTATTTTGTTCGAACATAGAAGGCATATTAGACCATCTTCCCTGTGATCGTGTAGAGCTCATACTCAGTACAAGTAAAAGATCTGAAGGAAGGAACTTGTTCTACCGGAATCCACCAAAGCTCCACCAGAAACTCAGTTTTGAGTCCTGCTGCCTAAGGAAGGAAACAGTTTGTGGAATGGAAGACGAAGACAATGACATTGGTCATATTTCAATCTTTTCATTTCTGGGAAACAAATACATCATCGACGATACATAAACAATTCCATTCTACTGTCGTCTTCCTTCAACTACTCATAACTATACCATCCCATTACGAGCTGCTAATGCTCAAGAAATAATTTATTTCTCGCTCTTGACATCTCCACCATGCGCTGAGATACTGTTGTCCCACCCCCTGGAGCAACGGAAAAATGCTCAATGGAAAATTGCTTCAGCTTATGCTTAAGCCTGTAAACTGGAACTGCAACTGCAATGAACCAAATAGAATTCCATCAGGATGCTACATGCCACGGTTCTCTGATGGTGTATGATCAGTAGCAATACATTCCTACAAAACAATCGCGCAATTAATCACAAGTTGGTATGGGAAGCATCATACTCATTGGCTAAGGGTTAAACTGCTAACCTGTATCCCCATCGAACATGCTGCAAAAGGTCCCAAACCTTTAAACTTTTGTACAACAATCATTCCAGGGTACCTAGTTCACATGTCATGACACCAACCATGCTTTTGCCAACTGAAAAAAAAGCACTTAGCTGCAGAAAGCCCTAAATGCACTAATTAAGCAATCAATATATGAAGCCAAGACAATAATCTCAAACATCACAGCAAGAAAAGCTCCATCAGGGAGTAACAAAATGACAAGTTATTGATATAGTGTACTAATAACATAATGACAAAGTAATCACATCATTGCCAGGGTCTGTTTTTCCATTTCAGAGGCCATAGAAGCATCTGCTAAACATTGATGACTAGTGACTAATCATTTCATAACCGAGCACTTGTTCCCCCAGTTGGATTCCTAGACCTCCTCTCTGAATGCTACTGATATCGAATATCGATGCATGGCGCAAAAGATACGCCATTATATGCATACGATAGAGGAAGCAGCGAAAGATTTGCTAAAGGTACCCCATCAGTCTTCTGCATGTCCATCTTCCAACTCTATATACCATTTCACCGCAGGGAAATTCTTTCTCTGTAAATGAATAAGCCGGTATGTTCACAATAATGGTATCATGACAAAATTTTTTGGAGATTCTTGATATGGGAAGCAATTAAGATATATATGTCATTAACATCAACATATTATCATCTCTAGTTGTCCTCCCATCTCTCAGAGTCGTGGACCTCTCATTCAACAAACTCCTAGGATCAACTTGACTAGTAGGTTTATGCGGAATCACTTGTCTCCTTCAGTTCAAGGGTTTAATTGACTTCAGCAAAACACAGTATTAGCAGGGGAATGAAAGGCCTCGTGTAATTCTGTCATAGTTAGATATGTTATCATTAGCTGTTTGACAAAATATGATGAATTGGTGGTGGCCTTCCCACTCGGCTGACATAGATACGCTCTACTAATGCTTTATGTATCAACCAAAAAAGAAAGACCAAAGAAGCAGAACAGGGATAGAGCAAGCATCCTTCCCACTCGGTTGGCTTAGCTAGGCTCTGCTACTGTTTATGCACTAACCAAAATAGAAAGAACAAAGAAGTAGAAGTGTAGAACAGGGACAGAGCAACCAGTTCCCTAATGCTCAGTAAACACAAAGGAAAATAATCGAATACAAGGCGCAACATCCATGACATAGCAGCTCAGAGGCAAAAGGAAGTTAGGCCTAATCCGGGACCAAAAAGAGACTAATTATTGTCCTAGTTTCTCAAAAGACAAACGAATTGATTTACCTGGACCCTTCGGATTTGTTAGGCATGTCTCTAGACACCAAGGAACTTCGAATTCCGCTTCGTCAACATGAAGGGTACAGAGCGAGTGGACAACGCAGAGTGAACTGAGGACACTGCTCTTTTGTGCGAGATTGTCGGTGTCGGCAGACTACTTTGACGGAGACAGGGCCTCTTGGTACTGGGGATTAGTCGTTTTTTTTTTTTGCACTTGATGAATGGGGGAGGAAGAATGCAGCGAAGGAGTTTAGGGGAGGGTATGGAGTTCCGATCGGAGACGGTGGAGTTTGCCAGAGCAGTTTGGTATTCTACACTCCTCGGATTGAAGGATTCTCTTTCCGTTCGTTTTTTTTTGTTTCATAATAAAAGTTAAAAGCTAAAATGCAGTTAAAATTAAATCAAGAGGAAACGACTGTGGGAAATATAGGGGATTCCGTCTGCTGGGTAGGGTTTCGGTTTAGACAATTCTGAAGGGTAATGGGCTCGAAATAAATAAACCAACTAGGCCACATCAGCTCCAAGTGGCCCAATAAGAATCAGCGTCACCAGTGTCGCACTTTTTATAGTGGCACCGTAGTATTGGCCATATTGTAAATCATACTTGTATCTTTCCGCTGAACTTGACTCATTTGTTTACTTAATGGATCATATTCAAAGAAATGATTGAATATCAAATTCTAAAAGAAGTGAGTTAGCAAGAAGATGATGAGTTGTAGCGAGAAAGCGTACAATTGGTTGTAAATAATATTGATGATTGAATATCAAATTCTAAAAGTAGTGAGTTAGCAAGAAGATGATGAGTTGTAGCGAGAAAGCGTACAATTGGTTGTAAATAACACACAATATTCTGTACATTATTAGATTAATCTATCTTCTATCGATCTATCTATAAAAATATTAAAGGGATTTGAGATTTTGATCTTTACCAGTTACAACATCAACCTTACACTAAAATTATGCGTCAGTCCCACTAATGACATAAGTACTTCCATTTTTCTTTTCAAATCCTCTGAAAAATGACAACGATTAAAACAATAGTAACCGTCCCTCCATTTTTTTCTCAGTAATTATCCTTCATTTTCCTCTCTCCTTACATTTTAAAGTTCAATTCATGTTTAGACAAAACAAAGGGAAAACGAAGGGGTGCGGCCTGTCGGCATATGATGTCATATTATTTTTATTAGCTTATACCCGATCCATTGATCAGATGAATTTTTATTTATTCAATTTATAATGTTTGATGTTAAGTAGTTCCTGGTTTAATTGGTGATAGTTGTTGAGTTGGATTGTTTCGAGGGCGGTTTCCCCAAATTAAACTTTTTTAATTTGGGATCCATAAAATTTTTGAAGGAATTTAATTATTATAAAAACCCAAACACAAGAAAATAAAATTTATAATCGACTCATTAATTTCATGCTTCATCAAGAACTTTGATATATTGTGTCTTGGTTACTCATGTCTTATATCAATTGTGACTTTGTGAGCTCATTAGTCTAAGTTTTTTGTTTAAACTTATGCACCATGTGTCACTAGTAGTTATCTCTCAAGAGTTTGATTTCCTAGGTTGCCATAGCTAGAACAAACAAACGGTCACACACTCACACTCACACGGACGATGACTTCCCACGGCGGATCTTCATAAAAAAAGAATGAAGGCCGCTTCTTCAGTAAGATCGAGAAGGCGCCGCACTGCACCAGCTGCTGCCACGTAACAAATGGGATCTAGATGTAATATGTTTTTAGTTTGGGGATCATCTTGTAATTAGGCTTTCGTATAAATAGGACTGATTATATTGTATAAGGGGCATCGAATACAAAAAAAAGATTTGTTAGGTATTGTTTGCTTGTGGGATTTGGGTAATGGATTTGACACTCAAATCCCAAGTATAATGGAATTGACACAAATACATTGTTTTCTAAGGGACACAAATCCGTGGGGACCCCACGGATTTGCAAATCCCACATTTCATTTGGGATTTGATAATGAAAGGCAAAATGTGATACAGATCCATCATAAATCCATGACAAAAAATACTGAATTTCTATTTAACGCCCTAGATTTTATTAAAAAAAAAAATTAAACAAACAATGTACTCTTCCAAATCCATAGTGCAACAAATCCAACATAAATCCAAAGATTTTTAAAACTCAAAACCCTCATTTTCAAATCCAACAAGCAAATGAGCCACCTCTCTTCTTCTTCCCCATGTTCTTCTATTCTTCCTTCTCTTCTTCTTCTGTCTTCTGGAAACTCTTGTCTTCTTCTTTGTCAGTAGCCAAACACCCTTAATACGCCGAGAATCAATCCTTCGTCTGACTTGAGTATTACAACTTGGTATCAGAGCCAACTCTTAGCAATCATGTCGCTGGAAGCGAACAATCAGATATTCAACTCCAACAACTCGACTTTTGACTCCAACAACTCGAAATTTGACTGTATGGAAGGACAATTTGATGAAATATTACAACGATTGGATGAATTGCGGCGACGATGGTCATCGGAGGTGATTGGCGGTATGGAATTTTAGATACAAATTGTTAAAAATTAAAGATAAACATCTATAAACAACATGATTAATTGACAGCTCCTTCCTCCTTGTCAACTAAGCTTCTTCACTCTCCACTCCATAATATCAACTTCATATCCACTCCATAACTTCATCGTACACAATTAGAAAGAACAAATCAGACATGCCTCCACAAACATAAAGAAGATTAGTTGTTTAATGAAGATATATTGTTTAGATCTTCAGATCTGTTCATTTGAGATCTTCAGATGACTGCCTCTGCTTCTTCCTCGTGTCAGATCTTCAGATATGTTCATTTGAGATGATTTTGATGGTGTTAGAGGAGGTTGAGGTCCCCTTAACCTGCCTTCTCCTTCATGTTTCTGCTCCTCCTCCTTGCTTCATCTCTTTGGCAGGTGTTTCGGAGAAGATCTGAGAATCCTATTGCGATCGTCCCGTGGTTCAGTCTCGTGAAGCTCGAAGGCGAGGAATACTCTATTTGGGCTCCCTTTCAGCTTGCTTCCGGATGCTCGTGTTTTTGCTGTGAAGGTTGTGCCTCTTTCATCGGGTGGCTTAGGGTTTGAACGGTAGAGACAGCTCTTCGCTGGATGTCTTGCGCCTCTTCCCGTCGGCGGTGGAATGGTTCTCTCCTTTTGCGGCGGCTGCTCTTCATCTGCCGGGGTTGATTAGGTTTAGGGTTTTTCATTTTATGCTCCTGTGTTGGGCCTCGTCTTGCACGGATTTGTTTTGTTTTGAAGGACCGAGCCCAAATGTAATTTTTCCTTCCTTGGGGTCTAGGCCCAAGATATGTTCACCTTGGTTGTTTCATTTAATGAAAGCCCACAATTTAAAAAAAATAAAAGAAAAGATAAATTCAGTCAGTCAGATCATGCCTCTCCAATCCATTACCTAATTTGGCTAATTTAACTGATTGGTTAAAAGTAAAAACTTGAAGAGAGATGTTTTACTCAATTGGGTGGGCTTGGCCAACCGTTATTGAGCAAAACGCACACGTACTGTTACGGCGGCTGTAGGGGTTGGATCAGCGGTTTACCTATGAATACAGTCGAAAGAGATACTTGTTGAGAGCGTTTCCCTTATGCTTCTGCCTCCCAGCCTCCCTCGCCTCACGAGTCCCATCTGAACCAATCAATCCTTTGTTCTTTGAAGCCTCCTCAATGATGGATTAAGTTTTGGATCGGTGCTGGTTCAGTTTCTTCAGCTTCCCTGCAGCAGCCAATTTGCGTTGGGAAGGATTGGGATCCATCTGATACGGACGGAAGAAAGGATTGCGCCGATCTGGTGGATATCTTCTCTATTGGTTTACATTCATCCTAAAGTACCCCCCCCCCCCCCCTTGCTCTTGAGGATTATTGATTCACTCTTGTGTTGATTAGATCCAAAGATGTGAAGAAGGTGAATTAACTGAATGAATCCAATATGATGGATCTGGTTATCCTCTTGAGGATAAAGGTTTGTCCATTTCTCCTTTTGAAGAGTCTCCCTTCTATATTGTTTCTGTCTTTCTGGGGTGATTAAGGCGTTATTAATCATTCAGTCTTTCTGGGGTGATTAAGGCGTTGACTTCATCCAATCTCTAATGGGGTTTATGTTGTTTCTGTCTTTCTGGGGTGATTAAGGCGTTGATTTCATCCAATCTCCAAAAAGCTGGCTCTTAGGCCTTTTAGTAATCATTCAGGTTGGCTCAGATCTGGGTTTGTTTTGTTTTGACAATATAGCCAAAGGCTTCATTTGACACATGTTTCTTCTTATTTATCAGAAGGGGGGTGGGGGGATTGATATTGGGATGATATGTTATTTTTGCAGACTCCAGAAATCAAGAAGACTCTACTGCCAGCGGCAATCCGGGAGATGTGCAGCATTGCATTTCGATGAGTGTTGCAGTCTATGACAGCTTGTAGCAATCATGGATCAATAGCATAAGACTGACTGCAGGCTAAAATCCTCCGAGCAACCGTGGGAGGTGTTATCGAGATTCAAATGGGCTTACATGGTTTATGACTGGTTTCTTGCCTTGCAGGCTTGCCAGCAAATCTATGGCTGTGTTTTTTGGGAACAGGAAATAATGGGCACAAGAGAATTGTGGTATGTTTGATGAAGTCATATCATAGCTACTGAGGGCAGATAGCTCGCATCAAGATTCCAGTGAAGGGTCAATCATAGCTTAAAACAAATAAGGCTTGGCATTTCATAACAAACACAAGGCTCAACCTTTATAACTCCCTTAAAAGAGAAATGGCATTCAGAAAGAAAGAGCATCACCTGAGAAGGAAACTGAGCTTAGTTTCTAAGGACGGACAGCGTTTGCCTTCTCATCCATCTCCCGAGAAAGCTGCAATATGCCGCCAGTACATTACTGCAACATACATGCATAAAGTTAAGTGTAAAATCAGGCTCGGTTTTTCATACATCAGCAGAAACAACTGGAGGTTTAGGTCTGAAGCAAAGAAGTCTGGCCTCTCTTGTGGAGTAGCCCGAGCTACATGTTCAAAGCAACCCTTGGCTCTATCTCGATCATGCTGGATCTCTCTCACCAGTTTGGCTTGAACTACTACACTGAACTGATCTTGATGTGCTGCTTTCAGTGCTGGTGGGTGCCTTATTGTCCAATCCATAGGGATTTTTCAGCAAACTCAGCTTGGCTGAACGAAGGCATCAATGCATCAAACCGCTTAACAAGGAATGACGACTCTGGTGAAGGGCTTCTTTGGCAGAGAGATAGGGTCTCTGCATGCATGGCTTAGGCTTGAGAAGATTGTTCTCCAGTGAGTATCGCTACAGAGGGCTTGTAAGTATCTTTTCATGAAGGCATATCATATCCTAGTGAAGCAGATGGGTAATGTCATTTTTTCGATGAACAAGTTCAGACGAGCTCGTTTCCAGTATGTTTGAAGAGTTCTGTGTTGTGGTTTGTTTTTCAGGAGGGATGATAGTTTCTCTCCCGTTCTAGCCTCAAATGGTCTAATTCTGAGTTCATGTTGGGAGATTCAGTCAAGCTCGGAAGAATCTCAAAGGCATTCAGTAGAAATTGAGGAACAATTCTTCAGGTAATATATCTTATTTTAGTGGTCCAAAATTGAGATTTTGTGCTTTGATTGATGTGCCGATGATTAGAAAGGTGATTAGTTTGCTCTCTTTCTCTTTTATCTTTCATTTAATAAAAAAAACGTTTTCCTCCTTGGGCTCTTTCTCCGAAACCGACCCCAAGTTCCTTGAAGACTAACTCACCCTGTAGTCTTTTTTCTTACGGTAACTCACCCTATAGTCCTCGACCAAAAGGAAGTTTGGTAAAACGATTATTCCTCACCGTGAAACAACAGTATTTGCTTCATCGCCCTAATTTTGTTAAGATACTAGATCTTTTTATTTTATTTAAGTAATCACGATACAATAAATGTGTTACTAGATTACATGATTGGTTATTTGAACTTGTGAGGTTGCGTAAAATAGTTTTGATTAGATGTGAACAAATGAACTTTTTATGTGAACTTTTTATGTGAAGATAAATAAATATGTGTGGTTAATTAATAAATTATATGAAAATATTAATTAGGTGCCTTAGTGGTGGTACATTTGTTTTTCTCAAAGTCGACCACATTGAAAAATCAAAAATTAAATTAGAGGGTTGTTTGGTTTTAGTGATAGTTAAATTGATGCATTGTGATCAATTCATGTGTAATGTTATACATGTAATTTAGGAAATTCATGTATTGCCGTTTACATCGTTTGATTTTGTGATAGCTATTGTAGTATTTAAATAACTTAGATTACTTTCCGGTTAAATTTCAATTTTACAATAAAAAACAACATGTATAAAAGGTTAGGGATTTAGTTAGGAAAAAAACCAACAACATATATATATATAAGCAAGTTAATAACGCAATATAATTTAACATATTGTTTAGTATAAATGAATTTCATAAGTTTTGAGAATAAATGAGATTTTGAGTTAAATTGGAAGCTCTACCCTACGAAAAGTCAGTTTATGACCCATAGTTTTTTGGACTAGCCCAACCAATGGTCCATCCCAGAAGAATGAGCCATCTCCTCCATTCCTATTCCTGTTTAGTAACCCTACAGCTCCTACAGCTCAAAACCTTCCTCCAGCTCCTACAGCTCAAAACCTTCCTCCAGCTCCTACAGCTCAAAACCTTCCTCTGGTCAGTTTCTTGTTCTGGGTATGATTTGAAGAGTGGATCTGGTGAGTTTCTTGTTCTGCGCCCTTATTCCTTTTCTTCTAATTCCCTATTTTGTTGTCCAGAAATCAAAAAACAGAGATTCAGTATCCAGAATGTCTGGTCAACGAAGTTATGCGCATGCAGCAGCCCAATCTCTCCGTCAGGCACACCCAGGTTTATCAGTGAGACACATAACTCATAGAAGAAATCCCAGATCATTCCCGAATGGTATTGAGTGTTACAGAGCCCATTTTCGAGGTTATGGGTGGATCCAAATACGAAGCGTACCGAAAATGAACAATGAACTTGTCAAGTCCGAGGATCTTAGTCTCCAGAGATCGAAGCTTTACGATCGGGCGGTCACCGGTATATGTAGGTTTGTCGAGGGTGAAAAAGTGCTTTATGTTTACCAAGGTTTTGATTGTGATTTAGAAGAGTACGTCAAAACATTGCTATCGAATGGACAGTCCTTAGCTAATGAAGATTGTCTACGAGTCGTGAGGTAACCATTTTTTCTTTTTAATATTTTGTATATTCATGATTTATACTAATACATGTTTTTATTGTTTTTGTCTCTTTTCGTTGTTTATAGGCACACATTGAGGGCACTCCATGAGCTTCATCAGGAACACGAAGTTTCACACGGCAATCTGACTTGGAAGAGGGCTGATCCTAGTGGCCCTCTCAATGTCGTTGTTGAGAACATGAACAACCCTGAGGAGATCATTGTTAAACTAATTGGATTGGGAAACTCTACCAGGGAGAAACAGAATGATTGTGTACACTTAGCAACCATCATAGAGAGTTTGGTTGCGGAGAATATAGTTGCCAGTCATTGGCTCTTCTCCGTGACAGGATCCCTCCAGTAAGTCCATTGGTTGGTTAACTTCGTTTCCATAATTTTCTACATATGGATTCATAGTAGATAACTTTATACTCATGATTAACATCTAGTTTCACTTTATTTGCATTGATTTTCTTGTTCTTATGTACTCCCACCTTGATTTTCTTCCTATTGAATATATTGTCATTGAATTGGAACTTTCAGTAAGCATGGAGTTCGGAACCTCCACAACTCCATCCTTTTTTTGAAAGGCCAACAGGGGATGGCATATTTGAGCCAGGCGGGTAGGCAAGTTGCTGACAGGAGGCTTGATCAGCATATTGATGATCAATTGATGAATAGGAATGCGAATTATACTATGGCAAGTGGATGGATAGGTCAGGTGCAGGGGAATGCATTTTTCAAGCAAGTGCTCAACAATCAGAATCCTCGGCAAAGCGGTGCAGGCTTTTTATGGTTCTGTAGAGGCCTATCATCACATGCTCAAAAACATAATGTAAGTCTATGAGCTGTGATTATGATGATTATTATTATTGTTGGAAATAACCGTTGACTTGAATTCTCCATTTTGTCTGTATATCCAGCGTAACAATCGATATCCAGTTCAACAGCAGTGGGTTGATCTATATAATATGTGGCCTGAGTTTTTTAACATCTTGCATGAGATTTTGGTGATAGAAGCTGTCTACGCCTATGAATCAGAAGTGTAAGCTTAGGAATTCAGTCTAATTAATAATTACATATAATTTTTATTATTATTTAATATTGGGTTTTCATTTGCAATTTATCAGGCCTAGCGACTCTATTCTTGAAATCCCTGTCCCTCATCCTGATGTGTAGAAGCTGAAGCTGCTGTAACGGAGTGCACTTTTCTTCCAGGGATATTCATGTTTAGGATTGGACTTTGTTATTAAACGAATTGGGGGAATTAGTGTAATTGAATTTGAGAAGTGTGATCTCTTTTGCTTACATGTGGCTTGTTCTATTACATTCATGTAGTCAAGATGTTTTGTTCCGTGTGGCTGAGGAATGTATGCGGATTGTAGTGAAATATCTTGTTTGTGTTTCTGCAAGTGTATGTGTGTTCGCCAACTTGGGTGGTGGTGCTTCGAGATCAGACGTGTATACATCTCTCAAACAGAGAATGCCTTCTGTTTTCTTAACTTTTCAGTCTTTATTTTTATTTTCTCATGTTTGAGTCATTGAATGATAGAGCATGAAGATAAACAGGTACCTCAAGTTCTGACTTGTCCCTAATGGTAGCAACTTTTGTGTGATATAGGGCACCGAGGATGTTGCTGGCCACTGGTCTCCTGTAAACGAATGTGTTGTACTAGCCGTTTGATTTCATTATTATCAGCTAGGTTGGATGGATGTTGCTGTTTCATGATTTATCTGCAGGATGAATTTGCTCACTGGTTGCCACAAAAGGTTGGTTGGTTTTTATTCCCTCCATTTCTTTTGCAAGGAGCTGTTCCTTGTAACATACAGAATTTGGGGAGAATTTGCTGGCCACTATGTTTGCAGAAACCAACTAACCAAATACATAATTCATAGTACAACATGGTAAAACACTTACCATTGACAAATCCTTGCAGCATACAGATTTCAATTGTTAGAATTGGAATACCATTGTGATACTGTAAAACATACTTCAAGTCTTTGCTTTTCTCCTACAAACATTGTTGGAGAAATGGCATTCATTCATTCTATTCTTCATCAGAGTCGTGTCTCCTTCTCTTCTTCTTCCTGTCTTTGTCCTTGTCTTCCCTGTGGTGTTTCCTCTTGTCATCTGAAGAATCCCGGGTATGCCTCTTCTCGTGTCTTCTATGTTTCTCCTCCTCCTTTTCTTGCTTCTTCTCCCCATGCCTCCTACTCTCTTTCTGTTCGATTTCATCCTTTGTTTCGACTTCTTCTGGGACCTCGGGTGATGGATTGGGCATATCGACCTTTGGGGGCTCGGATGCAACATCCGTCCCGAAGGATGGAAGGGTTGAGGGGTCTTCCCAAGGACGGGGTGCCCTGAAACATTAAACATAAAAATACCAAGTTAACAGACGAGTAGTCTGATGAAACATCTTGATCAGTAAAATAGAAGAACTCGTCATCAATCCGTACCAACGAAACTGAATTAATCTTTAAAATATGTGGGAGAAAGTCACTAAAGTACTCCTATACCTAAAAAAATGCTACTTACAACAGTGAACAAATTAAAGGTGCACTCCCAAGCTGTCACCATAGTATTAAAAGAATGTTTAATCATCAATATAATTCAATGTTTAATTGAAGAGAACTAAGGTTACTGGGATCTTTCCTTTCCTGATTCCACAAAACGAATAAAAGATCATAGTAAGTACTTAATCAGGATCAACGACACTTGCATGAATTATCTTAATTCTTAACACTACAGCAGCAAGAAAGATAATATCCTCCTCAATCTCACTTGCGCTCAGTCATCGGTAAGAGCAAGCCCAGCAGCGATAGTTACAGTGACACCGACAGCATCAAGATCTATCTGTTTCTCCAACACTGCCACCTACATGTAATGGTACATAACTGGAAATGAGAATCAAAATTAACGACATGGCGCAATTAAAGTCCAAAAGTGCAAAGTTAAGGGACAGAAACTATACCTGAGTTGCTTTGGAGTCGAGCCTGTCCAAGAAAAGGACACATGGTGCTGCTGTCTAGCATTGTCAAAGATTTCCATGACATTAGCTTCATTCTCTCTAAACCACATCGTTAAGAGCTCAGTTAGTTTGCTTGGCTACCTACTGAGCTCAACGACGAAGATACATTCGATAATGGACACTTCCTCACAATGTTCTAGGAATACCCCTTAGTGCTCACCAACTCGTTCACATTCTTGGTCCAAGCTAGACTGCACACCTAACCATAAACCAAACCCCCATTAGCACGTCACCACATAGTACACTTAAGGGGAAATGCAAAGCACAGCCTTTGATGAAATTATGTTCTCACTCAATCATGGCAAACGATGTATTTACTTGGATACAAACAAAACTAAAGCAAGAGATGACTTTAAACCTGCATCAAAGCCACAATCCTTGCAGCAGTCTTCTTCCCAACTCCCATGAACTCCGACAGAGACGTTTTAGATGGTCAACCCGCTTCCCTTTTGTAGTATATCCTTCCCAAAGGCGCGGGGAACGAATGATGAATGAATCTTCTCCTTTAATGAAAAAACAGTTGGCCCGCACCTGAAAGAGATTCTCGCTTGAGATATATAAAGCTATGCTGAACTAAACAAAAAAAATAACATTTGCAATCTTGCCCTTCTTCAGGAGAAACCAAATCTTGCACATCCAATGACTAGCATCTTAAAGCAACAAACCAACAACATCAAGAAGTAAAGTTATATAATGAAGGTGAACCTAAGTCAGTTTTGCTGTAAAAGGACTGATCAATCTTTTAAACCCAGGACAAAGTAGAACTACACAAAAATCATTATTGACTAGTATCAATACCCGCGGCTATGCCGCGAGAAATTTAGTTGTGTTTAGTATATATAAAATCAATATAGTGTTAATGAAAACAGTTAGAAATTCTATAGAGAAAGCAAGTGCCATAATTTTGTTTAAGAACTTAGACATCTTGTTATGCAAGGCTTGTAAAGATTATCTACAAAGCATAAGACTACAAAGTTAACTTAAGCCCCATGTAAACCTTTCAAATTCAAAACCAAAATTACACCGAAGAAATACTTTGCAATTGGGCAAAGCAACACACAATGATCAGCCAAATATTCCACATGAAAGATACATCCACCTTCCTTTCGATACCCCTTCATTTTCATAATACTTGCTCGACCCCAACAACGTCCTCTCCAGCTGGCTCCCCACTCGCAATACCTGGTCGTGGTTTGGAGTCACCTGCTACCTCGATCAGGTCATAGTCTAAATCCTAAGAAAGAACAAATTATATCCGTTCATACTGCCAAAAGACATGTAATTTTTTCTTCTAAACCTGCAAACTTGTTCTACATCAGGCTGCTTCTGTAACAATAACAGGGTAAATTTATCAGTGTCCCCATAAATATGCTGTTTCCTGGGGAAGTTGCCAACTTTATGGTGAGGCTATCAAACTGTTTGGATTGGCTGGGAAAGAGTTCGCACATAAATGGGAATAAAACATTAGTGTAAGTAACAATTCAGTTATTGTACTTTGTTTATGTAATTACCCCAACAGGTTAAGAAGCTTGTCCGTAAAGCTACTTGGATTCATTATGAACAAAATTCTAATGCTAATGGCAAGAAATACTCACAGTAACATCAAAGACCGTTGATTTCTTAAGAAATTGTACTTCTCCATTAAGTCTTTTTCTCGGAATTTGATGCGGCACAACTGAGACTCTCAGTGGTCAGGAAGACCTGCAACAAATACTGTGAACCTTTGTAAACTGTATGACAACAATGGAATCAAATTTCGAAAATAAAAAGAAATGAATATCATTTAATGAATGAAGAAACCCGATGAACTATTTTGACTCTATATATATGATCTCCATATAAGTAATGTGAGAGCAACAACTCCCACTCACCTGACTATATTAACAAAAATTTCAGAACTAATGTGTCCATCCCATTGCCATATGAACTTTCTTCCCAACAGAGTTTGAAAGGCAGACATTATCAGAAATATAACGCTCATATATATATTTCTGTACCGCAAACCAGAGGAAAGTCATCTGCAGCATATAGCCAGCCACCATTCCTGACCATATCCCATTACCCAAGCACGGATATGACACTAAGCACAGCTGCCAGAAGGTCCTTTCACAACTTGATGAAAGATGTGCCCTTTCTTCCACTTCCTTCTCATAGGTCGATTGACAGTCATCATCCCTAGAGAAGGTGAAGGGTGAGACTGGACTCTTACCCAATTTATAGTAACGGACATCACCATTCACCCCCCACATTTGCTGGTGGGCTCAACTGCTGATGATAACCTTAGACTTCCTTCTCAAGGAAAGGGATATGCCTCTCCCGTCTAATAAGGATCTCCTGCAGCACGTTCATCTCCTCTTCATCACAGGAAAACGTTTCTTCCACCATCGTATGACTCTGCCTAAGCTCCATCTTCAATGACGCGTTCTCTTCTTGCAACAGCAATATCATGGCCATTGCTTCATCTGCGGCACTTGCAGCAGCAACTCTCTCATCCAATTCTTGGTAAAGGGAAGCACGGGCAACTTTCTCTGCTTCAGGTGCTTGTTCCAGATTTCTGATAGTATTCAAGTGTTTTACCACGTTGTCCGCTACCCGCTTCGGCTATAGTGACAGATTTATAAAGAGATGATGACGAAGGCATCACATTGGTTCTATTCCCCTTTCCACATGGTTCAACCGGAGCAAAACTGGATATCAAATTTTCAGCAGGACCAGGAGCATTCAGAAGTCCTAAAATAGCATAATAGCAAAGGGTCTATTAACTATCACATTAGAAAGAGAAACTCCCATGAACAATAAACACAAAGAGATTGGACTCGACTTGAAGCGATATAAACACATTCACGTAAAGCTTCAAACCAACATATGTTGCAAATGAATTTGTGTTCTAACTGTGAACAGACTAACCATGAATAGTCCTTTAACAAAGAGGTTGCTAAACTATTAAGCCTTTAAGTGGCTAGTTAGCTGAGCTCAGAAGTCGTGTCTCGCTTATTTGTTGATTGTTGATTGTTGGAGAATTGCTTGATATTGTACACATTTCTTTGGAACAGCAAATCATGCCTGAATCTTGGCCAGTAATGGAGATAACTACAACTCCCACAACTATCATTTAGCATAAAATATCACTATTCCCTTCACTGTATGAGTGTAGGATTTTGATTCCCAACTCAAAATCAATACAAACATACAATTGGGCTCTAGTATAAAAAAAACTATGGAAATCACATTCTAGTAAGGGTTGCTGTCAAACCTCTACCAGTGGATTTTTTTGGCTAGAAATTGTTGGAATTGAAGCTCGGAGAGAGATAAAAGGGAGCCAAGTTGCAGCTGCTCCTCCATGCCGTTGAAACGATTTCTGCCTCTTCGTTACAAAGTCTAAGAAAATTGGGATATGGAAGAAAGGTTGGTTGATCGAGTGGTGCAAGGAGATAGAAAGTCCCACCACCATGTTTTTTGTGCCACTTGCAGGCAAGGTCGAGAATAGATGTTTAAGAACGCTGCCCGCCATCGCCGGTGACGAAGCTTCACCTAACACTAATTAGAAGGAGCGAGAGCATAGAATGGAAAAAGCATATAACTTTGTAATATTACTTACGGCGAGGAGGAAATTAACCCTCGCAATAGCAAGAACTTCATTGAGATGGCCCAACAGCTGCTTAGGCGCAATTCCCTGCATAAACACCCCCAGAAAATGAGGGCACAACTAAATTAGGCAAAGGGAAGATACATACGCCGCACATTAGGAATTAAGGAGGGGGGGAACTAACCAATTCGTCGGTCCACAGCGTGGAGTGCTCGTAGAATCCGCCGGGTTGGCAGGGGTTTCCAGCCATCCATCCATATAGGCAGCTTAGATTGTAAAGAGACGGAAGCCGAGAGAGAACTGGCAGAGATGGGAGAGAACGCCAAAACAAAATAGGTCACAGAATTGAGGTGGGAGAGGACGACAAAACCAAGCAATCCGGCTCCTAGGGTTGGGAGGACCATAATCAAGGTCAGTGGAGCAGGTACAGTACTATTCATGGCCGCTTGCGTGTTTGGAAGAGGTTTCGGTAGCGGTGTCGCGTGTGAGCAAGAAAAGCGAACTGAAATCTGGAAAAGGTTAGACAGCGGTGAAGGATGGCAGGGCGAGGAAGATGGGACAGAGGCAGTTCTGTGCGTACAGACGGTAAGGGGAGGCATGGCCGCTCGCTGGGATTAGGGAAGGCAGAGAGCTCCATAGGTGAGTGTGGAAGAGTTGAATAAGGAAGCTGTTTCTCGAAGCTCTTCACCGATTGCCGCTAAACGACACAGAACGAAACAGTAACCGAAGAAGTTGGGCTATAAAGTGTACCCACGTTTCATGTATAAAAGAATAAGACGGAAGTGAGCTTAGAGGCGAGGAGAAAGTTCAACACATCATAATGGATAAGACGGAACACATTGTAGTAGGCAAAATCTTATACGCGAGATGGAAAAGGGACGAGATACATAAACCAAATAAACCCTTATAGAACTTTTGTATATCGTTAGAAAATGTATTGTCGGAAAGACACATGAATAAAGAACGCGAGCTTATGAGTAGCCTTAAAATGTCGAATCAAACCACTTAATAGTTCCCTACCTCACATTCTTCAAGTGTGGGGCAAGCTTCCGTGTTGTAGCATCTAATTTCTAATCACCAACAGAAATCTCGTTTAACTGTAATGCTTGGGCGATATGCAAACTCGACTAAACTTTTCTCATACAGTCAGCCAACAAACTAACAATAAGGAGAATAAGACATCGAAAACAACATTGTAAACATCTAGAATCACTACACCATAAATAGAACCCAAATCTGACTACGACTAACAGTAAAAGTTCAAACTTCAAAGTACAGGGGGAAACAAAAACCTTTAATGAGCAACTTACAATGAAAAGGAGGCCATCGACCAAATGCTTCTAGCTTGCAGATCGGTTCCAAAGCCCTTCACACCATGATCCATAGAACCATTAGAGTATGAAGGCATATTTGTTTAAGAGGCTGGGACCACGATGTTGAGAAGGAGGTCAAAGGAAGGCTGCTGGAGCTATTGGAACCGATGATTTCTTGGTGGTCTTGGTTGAAGGGCCAACTCCTCCATCATCGACCAATGAGAAATTGTAAAACGGTGCGGAAGTTTAAACGAACACGAGATTTTACGTGGTTCAGCCTCACAGTGTGTGAGACCTACATCCACAGAACACGACTACTCTTGTTATTAACTTGTGGCCATTGGCCTTACATGAGAGCTATTTATAAGCTCCTGTCTCACGTCTAAACAAGAACAAAGAGTTCTATTCCAACAATGAATAGAAAAGGGATTATTACTTCCCATACAAGTGTTCTGCCTATCCTTATACTTCTCGGAAGTGAATTCTTCTTCCTCAACTGGAAAGGATGGACGAGAAACTAAGTGGGCTTGAGGTGAGTCCTCTAGGACCAATACACCCCCGCAAGCTGAACTGTGCAGGTCACGAACATTCAGCTTGGACAACAAGAACCGAAAACGATCCGCGCCAAGACCTTTGGTGAAGATATCGGTGACTTGAAACTGGGAACTGACTTTGCAGGGCAAAATGTCACGAGATACTACTCGTTCACGGACAAAATAACAATCCATCTCAACATGCTTAGTCCGTTCATGGAATACCAGATTAGCTGCGATATGAAGAGCTTCCTGATTGTCACAAAAGAGCGGTGTAGGCTGACTCTTGGGTACACCGAGCTCACTAAGTAGACATCTCAACCAAACTATCTCACTGACTGTACTGGCCATGGCACGATACTCGGCCTCAGCCGATGAACGAGCAACAACTTTCTGTTTCTTAGTACGCCAAGAAACATGAGCATTACCCAAACGAACAAAGAATCCCGAAGTGGACCGACGAGTACTCTCACAACCATCCCAGTCTGCATCACAATAACCAACCAGATCAACATATCCATCAGTAGGGAAATAAAGCCCTTGACCCGGGTTCTGCTGAAGATAGCGAAGCACACGCATCGCCGCATCCATGTGAGCTTGTGTGGGAGCATGAACAAACTGACTAAGGATATTAACACCATAAGTAATATCCGGACGAGTGACAATGAGATAGAGGAGACGACCAACAAGACGTCGATAAGCAGAACCATCAGCGAGAGTGACATCAGAAGACCGCGTCAAGTGATGATTCTGTACGACTGGAAAGGCGCTAGGACGAGCATCCTGAACACCTACCTCTTCAAGTATATCAAGGGTATACTTACGTTGACTCAGGACGATGCCCCGGGGCAAACGAGCTACCTCAATACCCAAGAAGTAGCGGAGAGGACCTAAATCCTTGATACGAAAACGCTGATCAAGGAAAACCTTAACACGAGAGATGAAAGACATGTCATTGCCAGCTAAAATGACATCATCCACGTAGATAAGAGCTACCAAAAACACGTCATCTTTGCGATAGATGAAAAGAGAATGATCTGCCGGAGATGAACGAAAACCAAGTTCACCAAGAGATGCAGTAAACTTATGATACCAATTACGAGATGCTTGACGAAGACCATAGATGGATTTGTCGAGACGACATACTCGAGTGTCCCCCTTCTCCGCAAAGCCAGGAGGAATTCGCATATAAACCTCCTCATCCAGATCACCATGAAGAAAAGCATTATTAACGTCGAGCTGGTGAATGAACCACCCACGGTTGACAGCCACAGCAATTAAGCAACGAACAGTAACCAATTTTGCTACCGGAGCAAACGTATCATGATAATCGACACCTTCAACCTGTGTATACCCTTTAGCCACGAGACGGGCTTTGTAACACTCGATTGTGCCATCAGGAAAATACTTTATCTTGAAAACCCATTTCGAATCAATGATACGACGACCAGGGGGAGGGTCAACAAGACTCCAGGTGCCATTTTGGATGAGGGCGGTAATTTCTTTTATCATAGCCTCACGCCAATGTGCATACTTAACAGCCTCATTGAAAGTCTTGGGCTCATCCTGGCGTGTGACAGTAGCCAAGAAGGTCCGATAAGCAGGTGTGGCACGAGAATATGAGACATGAGCAGACAGAGGATAAACAACCGACTGGGCCGCATGAACTGTGGTGTCATAATCGTCCAACATTTTGGGACGATGACGGACTCGGTCGCTGCGACAAAGAGGGGCGGCCTGATCCAGCAGGGGAGCCTCGGGGACAGCGGGCTGAGCTGGTGACAAAGGGGATGACGCTGGGCCAGGAGAAGCCGGGTTGGACGGGCCTGTGGGCTGTACTGGGGACGAGGAGGAGGACGTTGGGCCAGGAGAGGCTGGGCCGGACGGGCCTGCGGACGAGCTGGCGGACAGTCCTGGAGACGGACCTGCTGACGGGCCGGAGACGGGCCCAGAATCTGGTACAGGGGGAGCGGTCTCGGACTCAACTGAAGTGGAGCCCAAGCCTTGAGAAGGACTGAGGGCCGATGGCGGATCCACAAGGGGTGTTGATGAAAACAACGCTGGGTCATGGAACTCAAAATTTTCTGGGGGAACCCAATGAAGACTTTGGTGATCAGGGGATCTAAAGGGAAAATGATCTTCGACGAATAAAACGTCCCGAGAGACTATGAACTTTTGAGCAACAATATCATATAGACGATACCCTTTTTGATCAGCTGGATATCCCAAGAAGACACATGCACGGCCTCTGTCAGCAAACTTGTGAAGACCACGATGAGTGTCCTTCGCGTAAACAAGACAACCAAATACGCAAAGATGACGGTAAGGTGTTGGCTTACCAAAAAGAATTTCAAAGGGAGTCTTGCCTGTTGCGGATGTAGGAAGCCGATTTAATAGATAGACTGCTGTCAACACACATTCGCCCCAAAACTGTATGGGCAGGCCGGCATGAAAACGAAGTGCTCGTGCCGTATCGAGTATGTGTCGATGCTTCCGTTCGACAACTCCATTTTGTTGAGGAGTGTCGGTGCAACTGGTCTGAAAATGAATTCCCTATTGAATGTAATAGTCACGGAGGACCGTGGTCTGAAACTCTGTTCCATTGTCGCTTTGAATACGATGCACACGACGATGAAATTGAGTTTGGACCATCTCCATGAATAATAACAAATACTTAGCAACATCGGACTTATAACGGAGAAGATAAACCCAGACTGCTCGGCTAAAATCATCGACGATGGTGAGAAAATAATGAGCTCCATCAGTGGAAGGAACACTGTAATTACCCCATAGATCAAGATGAACAAGCTCAAAACAATCTGTCGTTTTAATGCTACTAGAAACAAACGGTGTACGAGTCTGCTTAGCACGAGAACACGAATGACAAAACTCCTCACTAATGCGAAGTGTAGGAGACAAAAGAGAAGCTAGCTGCACCATCTTGGACATAGACGGATGACCCAGCCTTGAATGCCAGACTTTGGACGAGACTGCTTGACCTCCTGCGGCGGCAAATGCTTGACAATCACTGCTTGCAAAGAGGCGAAGATAGTAGAGACCATCACGGAGAATCCCCTTCCCAATCACGGTCTTGGATTGTAAGTCCTGAAGAATGCAAAAGTCATGGAGAAAAATCAAAGCAACGTCGTTCTCCTTTGTCAAACGACTAACAGACAGAAGATTACAACGAAATTGGGGCACATGAAGCACTCTATCCAATTTCAACCCTGATGATAACACAACTGACCCCACTTTGGCCACTGGAACACTGGTGCCATTAGGGATCTTACCAGGCCGGCTGGGGGAATCCAATACCACATTACTTAACATGGAATCATCAAATACGATATGCTCGTTGCAGCCCAAATCAATCAGCCATTCAGAACAGGGAAACGACATACCTGCCATGTTTGAGGAAGGTGATTCGGCTGATGGTGACTGGAAGAAGAACAACTTGAGCTGCTTGAGCTGTTGCATACTGAAACCTGGGACTGGACTCTCAGTTGTGGCCTGTGCAGCTTTCGGATTTTGTGGGTCGTTGGAGTTGCGACGACGACGACCACTTTGATTGTTGCCGGCAGCTTCTTGCGGTGATTTGTCCCTATCTGGCCATCCAATTATATCGTAGCACGTTTCCTTGCGATGACCGGGTTTTCCGCAATGAGAACACTTGGGCCGAACTCTTTCACGACCATTAGATTGACGACCATCATATTGACGTGATGCAGCGCGATCTCCTTCTTCCTGGGTATGAAAGGCTGCTGCATCAGGCTGGGGTCTACGCTTTTGGGCGATAAGTCGCTGCTGCTCATCGGACAAGACGATGTTAAAAGCTTCCGTGAGACTTGGAGTTGGTTTCATGGTTAGGACCTGTGTACGAACTGTTCCAAAGCTGTCATCCAATCCCATCAAGAAGTCGAAAAGGCGATTGCTCTCATCCCTTTCTTTGGTGCGACGCTCAAGCCCACATGTGCATAGCCCACAAGAACACTTAGGTGACGGGGAGATTGACTGAGACTCCTCCCAATAAGTACGCAAACGAGTGTAAAAGGACGATACACTCAACTTCTCTTGCTGTAGTAAGCTGACAAGACGACGAATCTCATATGCTCGGGATGCGCTTCCTTGCCCAAACCGATCCCTCAAATCAGTCCAGATTTCTTGCGCTGTTCGAGCATACCGGACACTAGCACGTACCTCCTTATCCATGGCGGTGCGCAGCCATCCTTTTACGATGGCGTCGCACCTAGTCCATGCACAAAGATCCGGATCCGAAGTAGGCTTCTCGAGAGTGCCATCGACGAATCCAAACTTGTTCTTAATTATGAGAGAATCGGTCATCTCAACAACCCATTCTCCATAATTGGTTGACGTGAGAACATCTGCAACCTGAAATTGGCTTGCAGCTTCTGACGGGTGAAGGTACAACGGGGATGACGAGTCTCTCTCAGCATTGACAGTGGCAGACGGGGAGCCAACCGGCTTCTTCTCTTCGTCGCCCATGACGAGAAGACACGATTTTGAGGACGATCAACAAGACTTGGATCAATGCTCTAATACCATGAGAAATTGTAAACAGTGCGGAAGTTTAAACGAACACGAGATTTTACGTGGTTCAGCCTCACAGTGTGTGAGACCTACATCCACAGAACACGACTACTCTTGTTATTAACTTGTGGCCATTGGCCTTACATGAGAGCTATTTATAAGCTCCTGTCTCACGTCTAAACAAGAACAAAGAGTTCTATTCCAACAATGAATAGAAAAGGGATTATTACTTCCCATACAAGTGTTCTTCCTATCCTTATACTTCTCGGAAGTGAATTATTCTTCCTCAACTGGAAAGGCTGGACGAGAGACTAAGTGGGCTTGAGGTGAGTCCTCTCGGCACAATAACCAATGACTCCATGGAAGGCGGAGCAGTAACTCAAAAGCTAGAACTGGAAGAGAAACACAAAGGGAGTGATTGATTACATGAGAATCCGAGGTTGCAGCCTTTTTCACAAAAACCATCCTGAGAATTCTAAACTGCAACTAATTAATTCTACTCATTCATTAGTTCCCACGCCAAAAGAAATAAAGCACATTCAAGTAGGAAAAAACAAAACCTTCCCTCCCAAGAGCTAATATAAGATTTCCTCATTCATGGTAGTGAAAACCGTACCTGTAACTCTGTCTCTATTGCGAGGTGAAAGGCCCGTTAAAATCAGTCCAGAGTTCATTGAGCGTCTTCATTTCCTTCTCCGACCTCCGTGATTTTCCTTTTCAGCTTCGCCTGCTGTTTCGTCTTCCACCAGCAAAACATAGAGAGATGGGGAATAAGGTGAGGAGCACTTCCAGGGGGCGAGAGCGGAGATGTACTCCGCGATAGCACCCTGCCTATCAGATCCCCTTCCTTCTCGTCACCTTTATTCTCAGTGTGCTCCTCTTCCAAATAGGGATGGCAATGGGTCGGGTTGGGTCCGGTTTTGTCAAACCCAAACCCATGGGTTTATCCGTGAAAAAAATCCGGGGTAAAATCCATGCGGTTTGAAAAACTCAAACCCAACCCGCTGGGTATCCGCGGGTTCATGGGTACCCATTGGTTTTGTCGTAAAAAATTTACAATAACAAGTTCCTATCAAAATTAAAGTCAAATATCAATCTCTCAATACAAATTATCCATATATAAAACACCATTCTAGAAAATACAAGCAAATCACAAATTAACAATACAAATTGTTCAACACCAATCAAGAAAACTCAAGAAAATTGAAGCAAATCACAAATTATCCATAAATAACATGATTAATTGAAAGCTTCTTCCTTTCAATTAAGTTTCTTCACTCTCCACTCGATAACATCAACTTCATTCTACACAATTAGAAAGAAAAAATTAGACATGTCTCCACAAACATAAATAAGATTAGTTGTTTAGAATATTGAATATACCGAGAAAATTAATTATATGGGTGTGGGCGGGTACCCATAGGTCGGGTTTACCTAAACCCAAACCCAACCCAACCAGGTGAATAGTGAACGGGTTTAAACCCAAACCCGGCCCAAAACCCATCAACACGGATTTACCCGCGTTGACCGGGTTGGGTCGGGTGGGTACCCGTGGGTTCGGGTTTTGTTGCCATCCCTACTTCCAAATAGTATTTGATCTCGTATTCCTCCACATTTGGCTTTCACGGCTTCCGACGATAGAGAAAAATTTTAGGGTTGGCATAGGATGTCAACTGACCTGGAATCCTGATGCTGGAAGGATTGGAAAGATGAAGCGAAGTGAAGAAGGAGAAGAATCAAAACGCTACCGTTCTGTTGTTGCTTTAGTTGTTATTACCTAAACTACGTCGTTTTCCCTAAGTCCTATTAGCCGTTATTAAACAGTGTTTTGGTTTGTAATAGGCCAGTTGTTGATTGCCAAGTGGCAGTCTGAACTAAGCTGATTTCTTCAGCTGATATATATACTGCAACAGAAACCCCTGCAGCTTTGAGGGTTTTGCCACTTACCCTAGCAAATTCTCCATATGGTATCAAAGCGGCGACACATCTAGGGCTACAATGGCGAACACACCACCGAAGACGAGCTATGGAAAGGAAGCTGCAAGTGGATCAACACTCTCAGGCGCAACTGGTTCCAATGTTCGAGGTTTCCAGTTTGGCACTTACATTGAGCCGGAGTAGCATGAGCAGCAGCGACAAAACACTACCAGATCTTAGGTGATAATCTTTGGTAACCCATTCTACTTGAACCCTAATCAAGCACTGAATCAATCTATAGGTTCAGAGGTGTTTGATGGGACGAATTACATCATGTGGAGTAGATATGTGATAATGGGTTTGAAGATGAAACACAAAGTGAGCTTCATCGATGGAAGCATACCAATGCCTCCAGTGACTGATGATACATTTCTGTTGTGGGATGGATGTAACACATCTGTTTTATCATGGATTTTGAATTCCCTGCACAAAGATCTCAGACGTTCAGTGATGAATCATGTTAGTGCTAAGGTACTGTGGGATGAGCTGAAAAGAAGGTATGGAAAACCCAATGCCATACGAATCACAAACCTGGAAGACGACATCCACAAGTGCAAACAAGGGAATCACACTATCAATCAATATCACAAT